GGGGGACCCTGGGGACTGGCAGGCATGGTCCAGCTGTCTCTGAGGTGCCAGAGGTGTCCTGTCTGTCCTGCAGGGGTGGCTTGAGGCCAGGCTAGCACTGAGCCCAGAGCAGGGGTTTCCCCTGGGCCCTCAGGGCAGTCTCGGCAGGTGAGAACTAGCAGGAGCCCAGGTGCTCAAGCTCTGGGGATGGGCAGAGGGCAGTGGGGTGAGGTGACTAGATGGTGGAACTGAGGCTGGCCCCCTGGTCAGAGGTGGCCATGGGGAGATTTGGCTGGGAGTCACTCTCCTAAATGCCAAAGCCCAGAAGGCCTGTAGCCCCTCGGTAGCTCCAAAGCCCAGGATGTGACGGGCACTGTCAGGGTCCGTCCTGGTGTCTGTGTTTCCTCGTGGCCACAGGGCCATAGCCCTCAGGCACTCTCTCTTCAAAGATTCCATCCTCCCTGGTGGCTTCTAGAGTACTCCATGGCTCTGTGGGCTGCTCATCTGACAGCCTGGGCCTGGGGGTCCAGGGTCAGTGTTTCTCACCGGGTGTCAAATTGTCACCCCGTCCCAGACCAGGCCAGCCCCGTGGGCAGGGCCCCCCTTAGTGCACAGGCCTGTGAGTTTGTGCCGGGTCTGTCCCAGCAGACCCAGTGTGGGAGGGACCTGGACCCTTCAGCCCCGCTCCTTCAGGGAAGAGTGTCAGGGGAGGGAATTGCCCACGATGGGGCTCCTGACTCCCCTCCACTTGGCTCTGGGGTGGAGGTGCTGTGTGTGCTGATGGAGTGTGGAAAGGGGCAGGATGAGGCCTTCACAGACCTACAACGGGGCTGCCCTGGGTGGCAGCAGGGGGTCCCACTGAATGGCTGGAGTGGAGGCGTCGGGAAGTTTTGAAGACAAGGGCTGGGTGGCGCTGGCGGGCGTTGCCATGAGCTCAGGGCTGACCCTTCCCTGCTGGTCCTCGGCCACGTGGGCGCTGCCTGCCCACCCACGCCTGCAGTCCTCTTGGCCCTGCAGCTTCCGCAACTTTGACGTGGAGGAGTCTCACCAGTGCTCCCTGGACTGGCTCATGCTGGGCCCAGCGGCCCCGCCCCGCCAGGAGGCCTTCCGGCTCTGCGGCTCCGCCATCCCGCCCGCCTTCATCTCTGCCCGGGACCACGTCTGGATCTTCTTCCACTCTGACGCGTCCAGCTCCGGCCAGGCCCAGGGCTTCCGTCTCTCATACATCCGAGGTGACCCGGCAGCAGGGCGGGGTGGGCCACCACGGAGCACTCAGTGCTTGCGCGTAGGCTCCCAGGCTGGGGCAGCACCTCCGCTGGCAGCTCCCTGTAGGCTCTCCCTCGGCAGCCCCGTCAGTGGGAGCATAGTGATGGCACTGGGACTGGTCCTGTTGCTGCCCCAGAGGCCCTTGAGGGCACTGACCCCACTTTGCAGACTTGGCTAGAGTGGAGGGCTTGTCCCTTGCCTCCGCTCAGGTCAGGGACAGAGCCCACCCTGGCATTTGAGGGGACTCTGCCCTCAGGTGGCTGTGGAGAGACCAGGGGCCGTTCTAGGGTCCTGCCCCTTCCCAGGCCCTGCAGGGGCCCTGCTGGGATGGAGGAACCACCTGCCCTCTCCTGGTCCCAGGCCCTGAGCTGGAGGGACGCTCTGCCCTCCCCTGACCGTCTCCCGTGCCCTTCACCCACAGGGAAGCTGGGCCAGGCATCGTGTCAGGCAGACGAGTTCCGCTGTGACAACGGCAAGTGCCTGCCGGGCCCGTGGCAGTGCAACACCGTGGATGAGTGTGGCGACGGCTCGGACGAGGGCAACTGCTCTGCGCCAGCCTCGGAGCCGCCGGGCAGCCTGTGCCCCGGGGGCACCTTCCCCTGCAGCGGGCTGCGCTCCACGCGCTGCCTGCCCGCAGAGCGGCGCTGCGACGGCACCCAGGACTGCGGCGACGGCTCCGATGAGGCCGGCTGCCCCGACCTGGCATGCGGCCGGAGGCTCGGCAGCTTCTATGGCTCCTTCGCCTCCCCCGACCTGTTCGGGGCGGCCCGTGGGCCCTCGGACCTTCACTGCACGTGGCTGGTGGACACGCAGGACCCGCGGCGCGTGCTGCTGCAGCTGGAGCTGCGGCTGGGGTACGACGACTACGTGCAGGTGTACGAGGGCCTGGGCGAGCGCGGGGACCGCCTGCTGCAGACGCTGTCCTACCGCAGCAACCACCAGCCCGTGAGCCTCGAGGCCGCCCAGGGCCGCCTCACTGTGGCCTACCACGCGCGCGCCCGCAGCGCCGGCCACGGCTTCAATGCCACCTACCAGGTGAAGGGCTACTGCCTCCCGTGGGAGCAGCCGTGCGGGAGCAGCGGCGACGGCGACGCGGGCGACCCCGGCGAGCAGGGCTGCTTCTCGGAGCCCCAGCGCTGTGACGGCTGGTGGCACTGTGCCAGCGGCCGCGACGAGCAGGGCTGCCCCGCCTGCCCGCCTGACCAGTACCCCTGTGAGGGCGGCAGCGGCCTGTGCTACGCGCCTGCCGACCGCTGCAACAACCAGAAGAGCTGCCCGGACGGCGCCGACGAAAAGAACTGCTTCTCCTGCCAGCCCGGCACCTTCCACTGTGGCACCAACCTGTGCATCTTCGAGACGTGGCGCTGCGACGGCCAGGAGGACTGCCAGGACGGCAGCGACGAGCACGGCTGCCTGGCGGCCGTGCCCCGCAAGGTCATCACGGCCGCGCTCATCGGCAGCCTCGTCTGCGGCCTGCTGCTCGTCATCGCCCTGGGCTGCGCCTTCAAGCTCTACTCCTTGCGCACGCAGGAGTACAGGTGGGCTGCGGCCGCACTGCCCCCCAGCCGTGGGTTCTGCGTTTCCCGGGAGAGAGGCCCTGGGCTCGCTGTTCCCACGGCTGTGGGTTTATATACTGGGACTCGGCCACCCACAAGCAGACTTCTCTTGCGCGCAGCAGGGGCCTGGCATCTCGGGATGTCCGATGGAGGGGCGGGGCCACGTTCTGCTGCCAGCTGAGCCCCTGCGGAGGGCCCCTGAGGGGCGGGAGGTGTGGGTGCCGGCGGGCTCCGCCATGCTGCCCTTCTGCCCATTGCTTCCAGGGCCTTCGAGACGCAGATGACACGCCTAGAGGCCGAGTTTGTGCGGCGGGAGGCGCCCCCGTCCTACGGGCAGCTCATCGCGCAGGGCCTCATCCCGCCCGTGGAGGACTTCCCGGTCTACAGCGCTTCCCAGGTGAGCACCAGAGGGCGGGACCTCAGAGGACTCCCCAGACAGGGAGGCCACGCCCGGGGCGGACAGCCTGCGGCCAAGCTGGGCCAGGGGTCGAGGGAGGCGGGAGGTGAGGTCTGGGCAGGGTGACACGAGTGACACGGCAAGGTGGGGGGACGAGTTGGTCTCGGAGTCTCGGGTCCCTTGGGGGTCGTGCTGACCTCTGCCCCCTCAGCTGCCGCCCCGCCCTCCAGGCCTCGGTGCTACAGAACCTTCGCACGGCCATGCGGCGGCAGATGCGCCGGCACGCCTCCCGCCGCGGGCCGTCCCGCCGCCGCCTCGGCCGCCTGTGGAACCGGCTCTTCCACCGGCCGCGGGCGCCGCGTGGACAGATCCCGCTGCTGACCGCCGCGCGCACCTCCCAGACGGTGCTGGGTGACGGGCTCCTCCAGCCGGCACCGGGAGCCGCCCCGGACCCGCCGGCACCCCGGACGGACACAGGCAGCCCCGGAGCAGCTGGGGACGGGCTCCCCAGTGCCCACTGCCACGCTCCAGAGGTGGGACCTTCTGTGCCGGCCCCCTTGGGCCTGCGGGAGCCCGAGTGCGGGCCAGTGGACAAGGACAGAAAGGCCTGCAGGGACCCTCTGGTGGACAGCCCGGCTCCTATGGACACGCCTCGGGAGCTCTGCTTGGCCCAGGACCCTCAGCCCCCAGCCCCCACTGCCAGCAGCACCCTAGGCCCCCACCCACCAGAGCCACTGGGTGTCTGCAGGAGCCCCCCGCCACCCTGCTCCCCAGCATTGGAGGCCAGTGACGACGAGGCCCTGTTGGTCTGCTGACTTGGCGCACACGCTGGTGACCGCCACAGCCCCGCTTTGTAACCAGGGAATACACAGTCGTTTCTACCCCGCCTCCGCGTCCTTCTTTCTCACTGAGGCTGCCCAGAGCCTGGCCAGCTTGCTGCGTCAGCACCCCCTCTCCCCCGGTGGGCATGGCTGGCAGGGTCTGTGGGGGCTTGAAGTGGGGAGGGGGGCCTGGCTCCAGCGCCTTTATGGGGTCCCAGTTCTATATCCTCCCACTCCATTCTGGGAATCCATTTCCAGAGAGGCGGCAGGCCGGGGCAGGGCTCCCTGCAGTGTGTTCTGTGGCTTGTCGCTTCATCATCAGGTGGGACCCCAGGGCCGTGTCCGGACTGAGCAGGGCCATGGGCATGTGGACCTGGTCCAGCAGGCCCCTGAGGAGCTGCGCCAGGAGGCTCTGGCCCCATCCTCGTGCCTGCAGTATCAGCATGGACGTGGCCAGGCTGATGCCCTTTGCCCCTTGCCTTTTCGCTGAGAGGCCCATCTCCTGGGCACAAGGGCAGGCCTGGGAATGTGGGCATGGGGTAGAGAAGGCCCATGGGTCTCTTGCAGGCCAAGGCCCCTGGAAGAGGCTGCTCGATGCTTTCTCAGGGCAGAGGCCGAGGCACCAACTGACAGTGGCCAAATGCATCCTGTCCTGTCTCAGGGCATCAGTCTCCCCACCGTGGGCTCTGAAGTCCCAACCCTTGCTACCTGGGGATTTATGGGAAGAGAAGCACTTCTAGTGGGAATCCCTGGGCTCTCCCAAGTGGCTGAGCCTCGAGCTGGCCTCAGGGCCTGGGGAGGGGCACACTCAGCTGCATCCCAATCCTGATGTCCTTTTGGGACCAGAGTGGCTCTGGACCCCATGAGGGAGGGAGTGCCTGGCTCGAGCGGCAGAGCTCCTCCAGGGCCAGCCAGGCACCTTCCCCAGCCAGCCCCGCCAGGGCCCCTGCGAGCGATGCCCAGGACTCACCTGAGACAAGCGCACCTCCAGCCCTGTTTTATTCACAGACCTTTCCAGGAAAAGCTAGCAGGGCAGCGCTGACAGGGGGCCCAGTCCACATCTTCAGGGCTTCCTTACCACAGGCCCCTCAGAGTTGGATCTCTTTTTTTCCAGGAGAAAAAAACTTTTTTGCAAAAACACCTCCTCAATAAACAACATGTAAACAGAAACAGCTGCTTTAGGCTCCACAAATGTCTCATTGTGTCTTCAAGGGTTTGTCTGTGGCGGGCAGTGCAGAGGGCTGGCAGGGGCCATTTTCCTCCTCCTCGGGGGCGTCCTGGGGGTAGACCACGAAACACAGCTCCTGGCCCCAGCGTGTCATTGACTCTGAGGACAGACAGATAGACAGACGGATGGACCTTGTGGTCTGACCCCGGGGGCAGGGCCCTCAGGGAGCTGCTCCCTCTGCAGGGCGTCCTGGACACCTGCGCTACATTGTAGGGAGGCATTCGGTGGTGGCTGGGTTCTGTGTTGCCACTGCAGCTGCTGGGAGACCCTGCTCTCGGGCGAGCCCCCAAGAGGGTCCCATCTCCAGGCCCCGCCACCTGGGGGAGGCTGCTGGCTCACCTGTGAGTCTGTGCACACACTTTGGTTTGCGTCTCCAGAACACTCCCAGGAAGAAAATGGGCACCCCCGTGAGGATGATGGCGATGCCGACCCCACACACCACAGGCTCCGAGATGAAGCTGAAGACCAGCAGGAATGCCCAAAAGACCAAGTACGTGGCCGGGATGAGGAGGCTCACCTGGGGGAGAGCGAGTGGCAGTGCCAATGGCGCAGGACGCCCAGCTCTGCTCTCTTGCCCCACCACTCCCAGGGGCCGGAGAGCTTTCCACCCTGTCCTGGGAGCTGAGGCCTGAGCCGCCCCCTTCTGGCAGCAGCCCAGCATGCTGGAAGCCAATTCATGGATGGCCAGTTGGCCAAACGGTTGAGAATTTGTCAGTTTCAGTGGCTCTGAGCTCCACACAGCGACTGTCTGTGGACCTGCCGCTTGCACTTGGCTGAAGGTCAATTGTTTGGGTGCTTCGCATTTCGGGCCCTGAGCACTTCTCCAGCTTGAGGATTTGTATGCAAACAGGAGGACTTGTCCTTTTGCTCGCTTTAGGGCCTTCGGTTTTTGTGTGGGCTTGTGGGATCCCGTGCGACCGTGAGCAAGTCTCTCAGCCTCATGTGTCCGTCCATAAACCGGGAGTATTCAAAGCCCCCACCTCACGGGCTTGTCAAGAGGACTGAACTTGTCAGTGCACCCAAAGCCCCGAGTGGGGCCAGCACGTGGCCACACCGGGACTCCCCATCGCTGTCACCGCCTGCCCTGGGCGCCCACGTGGGAGAAGAGGTGACTCTGACAGCTCCCGACTCATGGGCTGGCCTGCGCTCCCCGGGGAGGGCCTTACCTTGATGGGCCTGTGGAGCGCCGGCCGCCTCCAGCGCAGCACGAGCAGGCCCAGGATGGTGACTCCATAGCAGAGGTAGTTGATGAAGGACACGTAGTTGATGAGCGTGTATGTGTCTCCCACGAGCATGATGACCGCCGTGGCCCCGCACTGGGAGAGGACTGGGGCTGAGGCCGGCCTCCCCGCCTGCCCCCTGCCAGCCCTGCAGGCTGCCCTGAGCCTGTGGCTCAGACCAGGTGGTTGGAGCCCTGGACCTGCCCTCTCCCTCTGTGGGCTGCCCCCGGGGCCAGGGCTGACTCCCACCATCACCCACGCTGCTGGGGGGCCCTGGCTCCCTACTCTGCCAGCCCAGGTCCCCCAACTTACGCAGACGAGGAGGGCAGGGATAGGGGTGCAGTGTCTGACGTGGATCATGGCCAGCAGGCTAGGCAGATGCCCCTCTCGGGCTCCAGAGAAGCACAGTCTGGGGGTGGGGACAGAGATGGAGATGGACCATGAGCCCGGCCTTGGGCCTCCCCGACAGCCAGAGCCCAGACCTCAGCTCTAGACCTGATGTCCCTCTTGAGCTGTCACCTCTGACCCTCTGCTCCAGGCCCGAGCAGCCCCACTGGGCAGTTCTTCCCCTCATCTAGCCTGCCTCCCTCTTGTTTTCTGTCCCTCAGAGTTGGGTTCGGACATCTTTTACCAGGGATTTCATTGTCCCAGCTTCAGGGGGGCCCCACCTGGCAAGATTTCACTTCCTCTGGTCCCTGGCACTGCTCACGTGCCCGGGCACCTGTCTGACCTCCCCTTGACCCCTCAGTCCCCAATCCAGTCACCTGGAGGAGGTGAACAGGTAGCCATTGATCCCTCCAAAAGTGGAAAGTGCCACGGAGACGGGCATGACCCAAGAGAAGTAGCCCAGGAGCTTCTCCCCGAAGGTCTGGGTGGGCACAGAAAAGAGGTGGTGCGTGAGGCCGGGCGGGGCCGGGTGGGGCAGGGACCGAGCAGGGCCCCACTCACCACGGCCACTGCGTTGGAGGCCAGCAGCTCCTGGGGGGACATGGCGGTGAAGTAGGCGACGTTGGTGAAGGCGTACACAAAGGTCACCAGCGGGATGGAGATGAAGATGGCGCGAGGTAGGTTCCTGGGGGCAGTGGTAGAGTGCACCAGCGTCAGCCCTCGGGGGCCTCGGGGCTGGGGCCCAGAGGTGAGAGGGGAGCCAGGGAGGCAGCAATGGGAGGAGCTTTGAGTCTCCTCCTCCTGCGTCTGCTGGGGGCTTTGTGGCAAGGAAGGGGCAGCATGGCTGTCCATCTCCCCCACCCCAAGCCGCAGCCCGCGCACAGGCGGTGGCAGGACGGGCGGTTGGGGGAGGGGCCACATCGCACCCTATTTGCATACAGCCAAAATCAGCCTTGAAAATCCCAAAAGTGCCCTGACAGCCCAGTCCACAGACCTGGGGGCCCCCTGGGACTTCCCATAGGCCCTAGCTCTGGCCCTAGCTACAACTGTTCACTGTCAGGATCCCTGGCTAAGCATCAGATGGAGTCATTGGCTTCATCTGTAGGGACCATGTTGTGTGCACATGTATAATTTTTGGCTAAATGCAAATAGCTAGATCCACTTACAACAGGACAATGATACTGAGTGATTCTGAGGCCCAGTAAGGGGCCGTGACTTGTCCACAGCCATACAGGACAGAGCCAGGCTGGAACACATGCGTCCCGGCTCTTTCCAGAGCCGTTCCTGTGGGGCAGTGGCATGGTCAGGCAGGTGATCAGACCAAGCCGCAGGTGACAAGTCTGCAGAGAGGCTGCCTCACCCACTGCCACGCTCTGCGCCTTCCCAGGGCCTGGCCAGGTGTCCCACTCACTTTCGAGGGTCAACCAGCTCCTCAGTGACATAGTTGAGGAAGTTCCATCCGCTGAAGGCAAAGGAGCCCTGGAGGAAGGCCAGGGCCAGGTGACCCACGGAGGGTGTCATCCAGAAGTCGAAGGCATTGCTGGGCCTCAGCTCCTCAAAGTGTCCTGGGGGTCCAGAGGTCAAGCGTCAGCATCGCCTCCCCAGCCCAGGGCACAGCCCCCACTCCGGCCCTACCTTGGAGGATCTGAAGAAAGCCCACGCCAATGATGAGTGACAGGGCCAGCAGCTTCCCGCCAGTGAAGATGTCCTGGATGCGCGTGGCCCAGCGCACGCTGGAGCTATTCACCCACGTCAGAAGCACTGGGGAGGAAGGGTGGGCGGGTGAGTGGGCGCCTGGGGCTGAGCCCCTTGTGGTGGGCCAGAGGCAAGTCCAGTCCGGGCTGCAGCAGGGCAGCCTCCTGTGCAGCTGGAGTGCAAGGAGCCCAACCCCTGAGGCCCGCCTTACTGGGCTGGAGCTGGAGGAGTCCCCCCACCCCCTGGTCCTCCCATACGGGGGCAGGGAGCAGGCTGGGGCCCAACAGTCCAGCTGCTCTGGGGACAGTGGCTGGGCCCGGCCCCACAGGAGGGCACTCACTCAGGCAGGCCATGGAGAGTGCGCGGGAGGCAGCGGCCGGGGGGATGCAGTTGGGGAACACGGGCTGGAGCACGTAGTTCGAGAAGGTCATGGAGATGACGGCCAGGCTGGTGGGGTACATGATGAGGACGGCGCTCCAGAGCAGCAGGAAGCTGGAATGAGGAAAGGCCCGGTGGCACAGGCAGTCGGTGCCCTCCTGACCAGGCCGGCCCGGGTGTGTGGAGCGGAGCAGGGCTGCACCCTGGGCCCTGGTACCCAAGGGCTGGTGTGAGTGCCAGACAGCGGTTTCAGTCCAGGGAGGCAGGACTGACCCTGTTGAGGTCTCTGCTCTATTCATGGACTGTTTCAACAGAGACAGTGTTCAGCAAACAGCCGTGGGCTGCCCTGGGGCAGGCGTCGAGGAGGACTCGGGAACCAACCACCTTGCTAGTGGCCACCTAGCCCCCGGACATAGGCTGTTTCCTGAGCTGGGGTGGGCTGTCCCAGGACCCCCAGGCATGGCTCCAGCCGCAGCTCTCACCAAAACCCTGTGGCTGCAGATGGCTGATGCTGGGCAGTGATCCCCCAAGGGACCTGACGTCACAAAGAGCCCCGGCTGGAGGTGGGGAGTAATTTATGTCCCTTCTGCCTGAATCTCGTCTCTGCGGGGTGCCCATGTGGGAGGAGGGGTTCTGCTCAAAGCTGGGATGCCTGACCTATTCCTGGGGGCTCTGCCTGCACCCAGGGGAGGGCTTGTCTGTTGCGGTGGTCCTAACCCCTGTCCGGCCCTCAAGGGTGGGGACCACCTCATCCAGAGACACCATCGACCTCTGGGGCACCAAGTTCGGTGGCTTCCCCCTGGTCTTCACCTTTCTCTCTAGCCCTGCTTCCTACTCCTTGCTTTGCACCACCTCCCCAAACCCCTTGGCTTCTGGGACATCCTGGCTCCAAGGCCTTCCTCCCCTGCCGGGTGCTCCCCTCTGCTCCCCCCAATGCTGGGTGCCCCTCTGGTAGAGTTTTGGGCCCTCTCCTCCCTCCCACCTTCTTCCCTAGTCTTCTCTACAGCTGCACAGCACGATTCTTCTACTTTCTCAGATCTCAGGCCCCCTCTGAGGACCCTCTCCCCAGAGGAGAGCACCCATGGACACACCCACAGGGCTGTGCACACCCTGCCAGGACCCCATCCACGGCTACCCAGTAAAGGTCACTGACCACGGCCCTCAGAACCAAACTTCATATATTTCAGCCCAGACTTTTCCTCTGAGCTCCATACCCCCCACCCAAGACTCAACCAACATGATGAGCCCCACCCCGGAAGCTCCCCCCACCGTGCCAGGACCTGCCATCTATGGAGCCTCTGCAATGGGAAAGTGAGTGTCACCCCTGCCACACCCACCTCTCCCTCATGCTACATTGCCTACCACATCCTGCCTATTTAGGCTCCTAAGTGATTCTGGAATCTTCCTGTGCCATTATTCCGGCCCTCGGCATGGCTTAGCTGGACAACTGCAATAGCTTTGACCCCCTCCCGCCCTGAGCCTACGTCATGCCCCTCAAGTCTCAGATCTGACCTGACCTCTGGCCACGGCAGACAGCTGCCCGAGCTCACCCAGGCCACTACTCTCTGTACACGCTCCCCCTCCACGCCCTTCCTCCAAGCCTTAGTGCAAACATGGTTTCTCCCTGGAAGCTTTCCCTAGGTGGTGGGCACCCCGTTCTCTTGGCTGCTGGGCCGCTGCCTCTCACACAGCCCCTCCAAGGAAGGGTCCTCTAGGTCTTCAGCACGTCGGAGGGGCTGTTTCCCTTCTGCACCGTGAGCACCTTGAGGACAAGGATGGACCTTTTCATCACTGCATCCCCAGCCCTCAGCACACAGTAGGTGCTCAGCTAGTGTTCACTGGTGAATAAAGGAATGTCAGGAACTATTTAAAGGGGAGCTCTTGCAAGGCTGCACAAGAACACCATGTCCCCTCCCCCTGCATATGGGTTTACTAAAATCATGGCCGTCCTTGCCTGGATGCTGGCTTTGTCTAGAGGTTTCAGATAGTAAGGCCTTTCCACACACAAACACCCAGGTGGGAAGTGGGGCTTAGAGGGAGCTCTATTTAAAAGGAAACACAGAGAGGTCAAGGGGCCAGCTGGAGTGTCCAGCTGGAGTGAGGGAGGCATTGGTCTCATCCACCCTGGCCTTGGAAGGCTGCCTAACACCCCACCCCCTTCCCTCCATCCACCCCCATGACCTCCCTGTGACGTGAGAAGCAGAAGGAGAAACCGAGGCCCAGGGCCCACTGGCCGCCTGCTCCTGGGAGGGTGGCCCCCCACATCACTGGTGCCCCACACTCACCCAGCCAGGCCCCCGAAGATCTCGGTGACATAGGCGTAGTCCCCGCCAGACTTGGGGATGGCGACTCCCAGCTCCGCGTAGCAGAGGGAGCCCAGGGCAGTGACGCCCCCACCCAGGACCCAGACGAAGAGGGCCAGACCCACAGAGCCTGAGTGTTCCAGGACTCCCTTGGGGGAGATGAAGATGCCCGAGCCGATGATGTTCCCTGCACAGGGAGAGATGGGGGGTATCAGGTCTGGGGACCCCTCAGCAGCCCAGCCTCTGGGGGGCTCCGGATGCTGCAGTGAGGAAGGGGGCCAGGCTGCTCCCTGGAGGAGAGAGGGGGTGGGCCCGGAGGCACGAGGATGCCACTGGGTCCCTCAAACCTGGCAGGTCCCACTCGGGGCTCATCCTCTCCCTTTCGCCAGTCGCTGGCATGGGAAATAGCCATCCAGTCAGGCTCCCCTTGTGGACATGGATCCGAGTTCCTCTGCCCCGCACTTACCCTATGAGACGGAGCAAGCTCAAGCGAGGGGGGCTCGGACACCTGCGTGATGGCAGAGTGGCACCACCCCTGTGCATCCCCACAGGACCTAGTTTTATAGCCTCCAGCCACCTGTCCTTCTTCCAACCTGCTGGCCACAGCTGGCCTCCTAAAGCAAGGCCCTGACCATGACCTTCTCCCAAGTTCAAACTCAGGGAGTGGCACCTCCTCCATGAAGCGCTCCTTGACCATGCCGCTTTGGGCTCCTCTTCCTTTTCCTCAGGCTCGTGGTCCCACAAAACCCTGCCCTGTACTTTACTTCTTTATCTTCCATCTCCCCTTCCCTCTGCCTGCCTCTTGGGCTCCTCCCTAACCTAGGACCTAGGCTGCCAACACCGACTCAGAAGAGACCTTGTTTCCTGGCACTGTGAAATGTTTCAGGTCCTGGGCAAGGGCCAGTGGGGTGAGGGAGAGTAACTGGTACATTTTCAGCGCTGGGGGTTGGTCAGCAGCCATCATGGAAGGAATGGCAGGCTGGCACAGCCTCTTGGCCGGGCCTGGGGTCTCTACACAGACTGCCTCTCCACTTGGGACAGCCCACTGGTTGCAAACAGTGGTACAGTGGTCACTGCTTTAATCCCAGGAGCACAATGGGAAATCCCGGCGGGGGCTCAGGAGGCCTGGGACCCCAGCCCGTCAGGCCATCTCTTGAGTCCTGTCTGTACAATGGGGTTACTGTGAGGATTCAGTGAGATGCAGTATGGGAGCCCTCAGCTCATCCACAGCCATATCCGGGTGCACTTTACATCCCCCTTTGCACGATTCTGTACGAGCTGTCTGCAGCCTCGCCTGCTCTCTTCTGTCCCCCAGCACACAGTAGGTGCTCAATACTTATCTGTTGAGTACATTGATGGATGAGTAAATGGCCCGATACCCAAAGTGGCACCAATGCCCTGATGACTGGGGACAGCAGTATCCACTCGGCCCTCCTTGGGGGGGGGGACTGTGAGGAGGGGAAGAGGGGGTGGCCAGCTTCTGAGGCTCAGCTGCGAGTGGTCACAGAAGGCCTGTCCTGCCCCCAGGGCCGACTCTGAGTCTTGGAAGGATGGGCATGGGGGTGGGGTGCTCCATTGCCTCACGGTGTCTGGGAGTGGAGCAAGAGGAAATGCACAGAGGGCCAAGTTGTGGTCTGCAGAGTAGGTTCCCAGGATGAGCAAGACTCTGAGTGCCCACTTAGCCCTGAGCTCCCTGGCAGTTAGGGCAAAGAAGGCAATATTCTGGGTAGCCTGAGTCTCACCATCTATGCAAATAAATCAGGTCATATCACTGGTGATTTGCACTAGGGCCTGCCTGAGAGAAAATGATCCCAAAACCCACAGGCCACCTGAATAGATGAGCAAGACTGCTGGGATCCAGGGCTCAGCCCCTTGACAAGGTCGCCCTGCTGGTCAGGGCCCTTGGGGGGAGCACACATCCATCGTGGCAGAGCCTGCCTGCTCCACCTGCCAGGTCCTCAGGCGGGTCTGGACAGGGACACAGCTGTGGCTGCCAATCTGCATGCATTCCTTGTCCACGGTGCTCCCCCTACCCCCACCCCTGGCCGACACAGATTTCCAGTCTGGATGGCCACGATGCCCCACTTGGTTTTCCAGTCACATCCCAGGAGCCCTAAATGCATCCAGATAAGGATGAAGGAATTCCTGTCCCCAAGTCCCCAGAGGTAAGCTGTGTCCTCAGCCTCCTTCCAGGGGCACAAGCGTCACCTCCCTCATCCACCACAGGGGTCCAGGGCCTGGATGGGCTGCCGGGTTTCTAAAGGGCCTTTGAGTTCACTCCCTCCGGCAGCAGAGCCTCTGTTCTCAGGACCTGGTGGAGTGGGATTTGCCAAAAGCCAGTGAGGTTGGAAGCCAGCGGGGGCTGGGTGGCCTTGGAAGGAGCTGGGGGCATCCAAAGCCCCAGGCCACCCACCCTGTGGGGACCCCACCACATTGCACAACTCAGCCTGGGAGGGCCTCAACAGCATAGCCATTGGGGAAGCCATACCTGGCTCCTCGTCCTCTGAGGCTGGGGTCTGAAAGGGACACATCACTAGCCTGTGCCTGGTGGCTGGAAACTCCCATGCTGGGATCTAGGGGGTGAGCGGGGGCACTATGTTTTGAACAAATGGCCTCAGGTACAGTGCAGAACTTCTTGCCCATGTGGCTCAAAGGAACATGTGTGCCAGCTGGTGTCTCTGAGGTCCTTGGGGGCCTCGCCCCCTGGGCCTGGACAACCTCCAGCATCTGCTCCAGGTTTGTGCTGGCAGGTGGCAGAAAACCCCATCGAGGTCCACTGGCTGTACTTGGCACCGTGTGGGCTCTGGAGGGAGCAACAGGGGCCGCGGGCTTGGGTGAGAAGCAGAGGGCAAAGAGGAGAGGCAGGATGCTGAGGACAGAGGTGGGGGCCTCCAGCCCTGGCATGAGGACAGGGGGTGTGGAGAAGGGACTTCGGAGCTGCAGGGGTGCCTGCCCAGCCCTCTGGTGGCGGCGGGCTCAGGCCTGCCTCTCAGCCCTCATGTTCAGGCCTCAGAATCAGCTCTGCCCGATTTGGGGAACAGCAGTGGACAAACCCAGCCCTTGGAGGATCCTGTTCTGGAGGCAAAGGAGGAACCAGGGAATGTGGGATGAGCCCGGAGTCAGGGGTCAGACCCACGGTGGGCTGGAGAAATGCAGGTTCCCGGGCCTCCACATTCCTATCCACACAATGAGATGGCTTCTCTGTGGTCCCGGCGGGTCCTTGGCGGGGCCAGAGCTCCCAGGCAGGTGGGCGAGGATGGGATTCCCCTTCCCAGGAGCCCCCCTCCAGTCTCCTTCTGCCCTCTCCCCTCAGCCTGAGCTGGGTGGTTTTTATCACATTAAGATGTTTGGCCTGATGGGGCTTACCCGGCTCCACGGAGGAACGAAGAAAGGGCCATTGTTCCCCTGGCCGCTGCCGTGTCGCTGACCTATTTCTGGGAGGCAGCGGCCGACCATGGAGGTCGCAGGGGTGGACCGTGGAGGTCATGTTGGTGGAAGGAGCCAGCTGCCCTCAGTGTGTGGGGGCGGAATGCACAGTCTGATTTGGGGAGGGGGCAACGAGGTCCTCTCAGGCCAGGCCGCCAGCACCACCTCTCATCCCTAAAAACTTTCAGGAGTTGGCTGCGTGACCTCAGGCCAGTGCTGCCCTTCTGTGCCTCAGTTTCCCCTTCTGCCAGGTACGGCCACTGGGGTAGGGGTTGGCAGAGGGCTGGTTCAACCCTGACTTTGGCAGAGGCATTGAGCAGGTGGACGTGTCCTGCACGACTGCTCGGGGCCCACGGAAACAGTCTGCTCAGGGCCCCTTGTCCTCCACTGCGGCAGGTCTCTCCTCAGCTCACTGGCCTCCCAGAAGCAACACCACCCCCGAGGAAGCCCTCCCTGACCTCCCACCTTGACCCCTATACCCTGGACCCTGCCCCACTCCCATGGTACCTGGAGGACAGTCAGGAAGTGATCCCTTTATTCCCCACCCTAGGTGGACCCTGCATTCCCAGAGGGAAGGGGCTGAGCCCCCAAAAAGGACAGGGAGCCCCTGGGGCCTAGGGCATCTTACGCGTGCCTCTTTCAGCGAGCATGATTGTGACGGGGCCGCCTCCTGTCACACTGGCTCGCTGGCCCGACAGAAGGCAGCTCCGGTGCTCCTGGGCCTGATCAGGGGCTGGCCAGGGGCCAGGCCTCCTTCCCTTGCCCCGGGCAATGGGTCCTAGCCCCTCCCCACTAGGATATGACCCATGAGGCCACTGGGCAAGAACTGCAAATTCCCATTTGAAGTTGGTAGGTCCCAAGGTTCCTGAAGCCACAGGCAGGGCCTTTACTAGTTGAGAACACCCAACTAGTGGGGGTTCGACTACCAGATTGCTCAGGGTGGGTGACTGTGGATAGGGACTTCGCCTCTCCTAGCCTACTTATCTGTAAAATGGGGAGAAGAGGCAAGGATGTGGGCAGGCTCCCACTCGGCATGGCACATTGGAGGCCCTAGGAAGCGCTATTGTCACCCACCTTGGAGACACCCTAGGCCACCCAATCTGGCCTTTGGAGATCTCATCCACATGGGACCTCGACACCCTGGGGTGAGCAGCCAGAGCCCTGCTTTGGGGGCCCTGTTGTCACCCTGGGCAAAGCCTATGCCTCCAAGCACATGAGTGTCCTAACGGTGATATGCATCAGGCACCCCTCCAGGGGGACAGAAGGGCCCACTGAGGTCTTGACAGAACTCCAGGGAGGTGGGTGGGCACGTTTCCAGGACATGCTTGGAATCGCCAACCGGTAACCCACTTTCCTTTTGAGAGAGGGATGGTAGAAGTGGGGAGCACACTCTGCCTGGCTCCCTCAGCCCAGCCCGGCCTCCTGTGCCTCGTCTCCAGGCTGAGTCTCATCAAGGTCACCGAGCAGCTCCACGCTGCTGGATCCAGCTGTCAAGCCCCAGGCTGCATCTGACTTGTCTCATCAGTAGCGCCTGGCAGGTTGATCCCCTCCTCACTCAGCCTCCTGGCCTTCCTCCCGCCTGGCTGACTCCTCTGCTGGTTGCTTCCTCTCTCTCCTGACTTCCAGAAGTCGGGTGCCTGGGGCTCAGTTCTGGGGCATCTGCCCTTTTCTTTCTATGCTCAGTCCCTTGGAGACCTCATCCAGTCCCCCAGCTTCTGCTGGCAACCCTCAAATTTATATCCCAAGCCGGGACCTCTCCAC